GGTCTCTCACTGGTCTCTCACTGGTCTCTCTCTCTGGTCTCCCACTGGTCTCTCTCTCTGGTCTCCCTCTGGTCTCTCTCTGGTCTCTCACTGGTCTCTCTCTCTGGTCTCCCGCTGGTCTCTCTCTGGTATCTCACTGGTCTCTCTCACTGGTCTCCCTCTGGTCTCTCACTGGTCTCTCACTGGTCTCTCTCTCTGTTCTCCCACTGGTCTCTCTCTCTGGTCTCCCTCTGGTCTCTCTCTGGTCTCTCACTGGTCTCTCTCTCTGGTCTCCCTCTGGTCTCTCTCTGGTCTCTCACTGGTCTCTCTCTCTGGTCTCTCTCTCTGGTCTCTCTCTGGTCTCCCGCTGGTCTCCCTCTGGTCTCTCTCTGGTCTCTCTCTCTGGTCTCTCTCTCTGGTCTCTCTCTGGTCTCTCACTGGTCTCTCTCTCTGGTCTCCCGCTGGTCTCTCTCTGGTCTCTCACTGGTCTCTCTCTCTGGTCTCCCGCTGGTCTCTCTCTGGTATCTCACTGGTCTCTCTCTCTGGTCTCCCTCTGGTCTCTCTCTGGTCTCTCACTGGTCTCTCTCTCTGGTCTCTCTCTCTGGTCTCCCGCTGGTCTCTCTCTGGTATCTCTCTGCTCTTTTGCTGGTCCCTCTACTTTTGTTTTTAAAGGCAGAGGACAGCTCTATCTGTGATGTCATAGTGGGGCGATGACATCATACCTCCACAAGACATACGAGGGCCTGTGATTGGTCAGTAAAGTTTTGCAGTGCAGACGTGTTCGCGGATCACTTCACAAGACAATCTCGATCCGTGGGGGTCAGCGTGGATGTGCCCTCCCAGGAGAAAGACACTTCATTCAGAGAGAAGAGAGACCCCCCCTGCCCTGCCCCACCCCCTGCCTCTCTGTGTTCTGACATGGGAGAGTCCTATAACGGCTGCTTTCATCCGATTGATCAAACTCAAGGGTCAGCGGGGCCTCCTCAGTTGGTCTCTCTCTGGTCCCTCTCAGCCATAGTTACATGGCTGAGTACTGCTACTATTACTGCTGCTGCTATTACTACTACTACTAATAAGTAAGTAATGTTTATCTATATAGCGCATCCCTACAGACCAAGGTCACCCAAAGCCCCTTACAATGTTCAGAGTTCAGATTTTGTTCCAATCATTCTACACACGGTGACTACTACTACTACTACTACTAGGCAAGGCAAGGCAAGGCAAGTTTATTTATATAGCACAATTCATACACAAGGAAATTCAAAGTGCTGAACAAAACAAGAAAGCATTAAAATCATAAATAATCACAGAACATTAAAAAGAAAGATAAAAATATAAAATCCCTCAGTTGTATGCACAGTTAAACAGAACTGTTTTTAACCTGGTTTTAAACATTGTCAGAGAGGAGGCCTGTCTCACATCTTCAGGAAGACTGTTCCAGATTTTAGCCGCATAAATCTGAAACGCAGCCTCCCCATGTTTAGTTCTGACTCTGGGCACTAACAGGAGTCCAGTCCCTGTGCTCCTCAGAGTCCGGGCTGGTTCATATGGGACTAACATGTCACTAATATATTTTGGTGCGAGGCCATGGACTACTACTACTACTATTACTATTACTACTGAAGAAGATGACAAAGTCTGGGATCGCGTCTTAAATTCAGACAGAAGACATGTTTTATTGTCGATGGTGACAGCACGAACAAAGCACACGATCACAGAAACAATAGAATGCAAGTGTATTATACAGAGCGGAGGCATGGAGACCTCCAATCAGCAGCTGCCACAGTGCCATGTAGCTTGGCCTTCAGATAGACAAAACAAGGGAAAAGTACTGGCTTCTGCACATTGATAGAATGATGAGTTTAACTTTAACAAAAGTTGCTTCAAAGTGTTATGAAATCTCACACTACTACTGCTGCTGTGGATCCTTTATGAGACTTTTTTGTGGAATTATGTAAGAACTGAGCTTTCCATTACTGTCTCAGTATACATACCTCTAGAAAATGTGAAAAAACGAATCTGTTCATGCGTCAGCTGAGACTTCTAAAGTCCACAACGACTAAACTAGAGTGGTCCAAAACACTCCCCTCAGCATTGACACACATGTGGAACGGAGCTTTGGAACAAGAGCCACTTTTGGACCATCCTGTAAAGACGATTTCCAGAGGTAAGAAGATGCTACATGTTAGCATTGGCTAATTCTTATTCCAGGTCCACCCCCATCGGCCCGGGATGGTATTACAGCATGTCAGCGCACCTCATTTTGGCAACTTTTGAGCTGGGACCCGCCCCCACTGCTGTATACAGATGGACAATGCTAACACAGACTGTATAGAGATGCTAATGCTAATGCTAACACAGACTATATACAGATGGACAATGCTAACACTGTATACAGTCTGTGTTAGCATTGTGTTAGCTCAATGAAGCCTCCAACTCGCTCAGGCTCCATTGGCTCACATGTAAAAGTAAACTCTTAGCACAAAACTAACATCGTCGAAGCCGATGCCCAAATGAGGGAGTTGGCTCCAGCTATGGTGATGTCACACTCAGACAGTCCACTCCTCACACACACAGGCCTCACACATAAGCTCCAGTGGAACCGGATCTCTCCCTTTTAGTCCAATTTAATTATATAGAACAAGACTGTAAACCTGTGAGTGAGGGAGAGCAGCTGGACCCACATTAGCGTCTGCTTCGCCCTTTTCAAACTGTGGAATGCGGTTCACATTCTTTGTTCGCTGTTTATTGTTGTTTTATCTTTTGTACGTACAAAGTTGATGATTTGCAAACAAGAGATCAGAGAATTGAACAGTTCGAACAAGCTAAATGTTATAATAACAAACAAATAAGAGCCATCGATCCATAGACTGTAGACCCAGGACTGAGGCTTTAGACCCAGGACTGAGGTTGTAGACCCAGGACTGAGGCTGTAGACCCAGGACTGAGGCTGTAGACCCAGGACTGAGGCTATAGACCCAGGACTGAGGCTGTAGACCCAGGACTGAGGCTGTAGACCCAGGACTGAGGCTATAGACCCAGGACTGAGGCTGTAGACCCAGGACTGAGGCTACAGACCCAGGACTGAGGCTGTAGACCCAGGGCCGAGGCTGTAGACCCAGGACTGAGGCTGTAGACCCAGGACTGAGGCTGTAGACCCAGGACTGAGGCTGTAGACCCAGGACATAAACTCTATCTACAGCTCTGGGCCCCTGTAGCCCTGCAGACGGCCCTGGCTCTTTTCCCACAGTTTAAGTGTGTGCCTCTGTGTGTGTGTGTCAGTGTGTGTGTGTGTGTGTGTGTTTGTGCCTGTGTGTGTGTGTGCGTGCGTGTGTGTGTGTGTGTGTGTGTGTGTATATGTGTGTGTGTGTGTGTGTGTGTGGCCCTTTAAACACTTCCGGCTGCTTCTACCGTAAGTCCTCTAACAGTGGCTCCTCAAAAAAGTCACATGTCCTTTTGTTTCAGTCTCTCTCAGTCTCTCTCCCCCTCCTCTCCCCCTTGTCTCCCACATGCCTCCCACCTGTCTCCCCCACTCAGCCTGTCCTCCCAGTGCTCTCTCTGTCACTGGTTTGAGGCTTTTCTGATCAGTTCAAAGAAAATGTGATTTAAAAAAAGGAAGAGTCAGGAAACAATGGGATTAGGTTCAGGATCGAAAAGTTTTGAAATGATCAGACAAGATAAAAACTCTCTGGTCTCTCTCTCTGGTCTCTCTCTCTGGTCTCTCTCTGGTCTCTCTCTGGTCTCTCTTTGGTCTCTCTCTCTCTGGTCTCTCTCTCTGGTCTCTCTCTCTGGTCTCTCTCTGGTCTCTCTCTCTGGTCTCTCTCTGGTCTCTCTCTCTGGTCTCTCTCTGGTCTCTCTCTCTGGTCTCTCTCTGGTCTCTCTCTGGTCTCTCTCTGGTGTCTCTCTGGTCTCTCTCTGGTCTCTCTCTCTGGTCTCTCTCTGGTCTCTCTCTGGTCTCTCTCTGGTGTCTCTCTGGTCTCTCTCTGGTCTCTCTCTGGTCTCTCTCTGGTCTCTCTCTCTGGTCTCTCTCTCTGGTCTCTCTCTCTGGTCTCTCTCTGGTCTCTCTCTCTGGTCTCTCTCTGGTCTCTCTCTCTGGTCTCTCTCTGGTCTCTCTCTCTGGTCTCTCTCTGGTCTCTCTCTGGTCTCTCTCTCTGGTCTCTCTCTGGTCTCTCTCTGGTCTCTCTCTGGTGTCTCTCTGGTCTCTCTCTGGTCTCTCTCTGGTCTCTCTCTGGTCTCTCTCTGGTCTCTCTCTGGTCTCTCTCTCTGGTCTCTCTCTGGTCTCTCTCTGGTCTCTCTCTGGTCTCTCTCTCACAGTCACCGCCGCGGGAAGAATTCCTGGAATGTCAAACGCTCCACTTCAGACTGGATTGAGATTGTGTTTCAGTTCTTTGCACCAGTCTGTGACCACGGTCTGTGACCACGGTCTGTGACCATGGTCTGTAACCACTCCTGAAATTATGTTTAAGTTAAATGAAAGTCTCTCTCTCTGGTCTCTCTCTGGTCTTTCTCTGGTCTCTCTCTGGTCTCTCTCTGGTCTTTCTTTGGTCTCTCTCTGGTCTCTCTCTCTGGTCTCTCTCTGATCTCTCTCTCTGATCTCTCTCTCTGGTCTCTCTCTCTGGTCTCTCTCTGGTCTCTCTCTGGTCTTTCTCTGGTCTTTCTTTGGTCTCTCTCTGGTCTCTCTCTCTGGTCTCTCTCTGATCTCTCTCTCTGATCTCTCTCTCTGGTCTCTCTCTCTGGTCTCTCTCTGGTCTTTCTTTGGTCTCTCTCTGGTCTCTCTCTGGTCTCTCTCTCTCTCTCTCTGGTCTCTCTCCTGAGTCTCTCTCCTGAGTCTCTTTCTTTAAGTCTTGGAATGCAGGGAAATTCCACGGAGACTGAGACTAAAGCTGCTCGTCAATGTTTTATGTTTTTCCAAACCTGGGACCATGAGTGAGGTCCACATGGTCCGGGCTTGGACTCAGGGTCTGGCCTAAACTCAGACTCTGTGGATTCTAAACTCTGTAGAACGTGTGCTGCCTCCAACAATGCAAACTTTTTACCACAAGAAAAGTGCAGCCGACTTCTGCCTAGTAACAGCGGACTCTCTGATTGGAGGATGCGGTAACAGCGGAGTCTCTGATTGGAGGATGCAGTAACAGCGGATTCTCTGATTGGAGGATGCAGTAACAGCGGATTCTCTGATTGGAGGATGCAGTAACAGCGGCCTCTCTGATTGGAGGATGCAGTAACAGCGGACTCTCTGATTGGAGGATGCAGTAACAGCGGACTCTCTGATTGGAGGATGCAGTAACAGCGGATTCTCTGATTGGAGGATGCAGTAACAGCGGACTCTCTGATTGGAGGATGCAGTAACAGCGGACTCTCTGATTGGAGGATGCAGTAACAGCGGAGTCTCTGATTGGAGGATGCAGTAACAGCAGAGTCTCTGATTGGAGGATGCAGTAACAGCGGAGTCTCTGATTGGAGGATGCAGTAACAGCGGATTCTCTGATTGGAGGATGCAGTAACAGCGGATTCTCTGATTGGAGGATGCAGTAACAGCGGACTCTCTGATTGGAGGATGCAGACTCCTCCCACTGAGAGGACTGTCTCTGACACACATGAAAGGGTTTTTCTGTCCTAAAGGTGACATCACACTTTGAAGGAAGGACCCTCACTTTACCTCATTCATAATAAATAATAATAATAATAATAATCATTAAAATGTGTCTCTGTATCTGTCCCAGAGCCTCTTGCTGCAGATGTAGAAATATAACTCTGTATTTATTGCTCTAGAAAACTATATTTTACTGCAAGAGGCAATACATGGATTTTATATACATTTATACATATTAAGTCTCTCTCTCTCTCTGGTCTCCCTCTGGTCTCTCTCTGGTCTCTCTTTCTCTGGTCTCTCTCTTTCTCTGGTCTCTCTCTTTCTCTGGTCTCTCTGTGGTCTCTCTCTGCTCTCTCTCAGGTCTCTCTCTCTGGTCTCTCTCTGGTGTCCCTCTGGTCTCTCTCAGGTCTCTCTCTGCTCTCTCTTTCTGGTCTCTCTCAGGTCTCTCTTTGCTCTCTCTTTCTGGTCTCTCTCAGGTCTCTCTTTGCTCTCTCTTTCTGGTCTCTCTGTGGTCTCTCTCTGCTCTCTCTCAGGTCTCTCTCTGCTCTCTCTTTCTGGTCTCTCTCAGGTCTCTCTTTGCTCTCTCTCTGGTCTCTCTGTGGTCTCTCTCTGCTCTCTCTCAGATCTCTCTTTGCTCTCTCTCTCTGGTATCTCTGTGGTCTCTCTCTGGTCTCTCTCTTTTCTAACTCAGAAAGCTAAACATAGTTATGTGTTGTAAGTTCCAAACATTAAAGTTTTATCATATTTGAATATCTGAGACCGTTTTCTTCTGAATGTGTCGATGGTTTGTTAAACTTTGCAGTGATTCACCCAAAACAGACCAAAAATGTGATAAAAAGCTTCATAATGATTGACCGGCAGCGGAAGCAGAGAAACCCCCTCCCCCTCCTGGACCTCCCAGCCGGGCCACACCAGAGCGGGCGCCAGGTCCTCACATCCTCAGCACCAGGGCTTTTCAGCTGAAAGACCTGGAACCTGCAAACAACACCATGTACAACACCATGAACAACACCATGAAACGCTAGCATAACACGACAGTTACCTTTATTTAAAGACAGAACCTAACCCTGTGGCCTGTGTGCAGAGGTTCTCTCTCCGGTCTCTCTTGGTCTCTCTGGTATCGCTCTCTGGTTACTCTCTGGTCTCTTTCTGGTTACCATGGTCTCTCTGGTCTCTCTCTGATCTCTTTCTGGTCTCTTTCTCTCGTCTTTCTCTGGTCTACTTCTGGTCTCTCTCTCTCTCGTCTCTCTCTGGTCTACTTCTGGTCTCTCTCTGGTCTCTCTCTCTGGTCCCTCTCTGGTCTCTGGTCTCTGCACGGCTTTTGACAGCTGAAGCAGCACTCAGCGACCACATAACTCTTGGACACGACACTTATACTTTTCAAAGGACAACTTTATAAAGGGGCGAACAGAACGTGCAACAGCCCAAACTCTGGCAGAGAGCTTGACTCACCTAAACACAGCTCCACGGCTCGTTACGCAGAGTATCGTCCCTGGTTTGTCCTTTTAGAACTTTCTTTCCCAGAGAAACATGTGAGAAGCTGGAAACAGTTTGTGTCAATATCAAAAAGACTAAGTCGCAAGACGGGTTGGACACCGAGGTTTTTGGTCAGTGTGAATGAGCCTATGTGTGTGTGTGTGTGTGTGTGTGCGTGCGTGCGTGTGCGTGTGTGCGCGCGCGTGCCTACATGCCTTTCTCAGACCGCGCTCTCTTTGATGCCATTCTTCAACGGCCTGACGTCACCGCGCACGCCCCCCGTCCCCCCCCCCCCCCCCCCCCCACATGTCGCGCGCTCCTGAAGTATGAGTGTGTGTTGCCAAATTTGATTCTTTTTATGACGTTTGGCTTTCATGTTTTACGATCTCCGGGTTTTTACTGCCACAACTATTCAGCAATGACCGACATATGATAAAGTCCATAAAATCCATGCAGGATTTTAACAAATGCAAACTGAACGAACAAAACACTCAAAATACCTCCGAGTGTTAGCCAAGACACAGGGTGCTTGGATTTAACGCTAGCTTTCTATTTTGATGAATGCTAACTTTCTATTTTGATAAATGCTAATGTTGTTGTTGGAGTGAGAGAACTATGAAAAACTTTGCATATGAATCAAGTAACTAAGTAATATTTATTTATATAGCACATTTTACAGACACAAAGCTCTTCATAAAGTTCAGATTTAGTTCCATTGTCTCCACACGGTGAGACCAGAACACACTGGACCATCAAAGCCGCCGACCAAACACTCTACCACTCATTACATTCAGACTATACATGTTTTTAGTGATAGGGGTAACTGGAGCACTCGGAGGAAACCTGCACAGACACAGGGGGAACATGCAAACTCCACACAAATAGGTTGCGACCGGGATTCAAACCCAGGACCTTCTTGCTGAGTGTGCTAACCACTCAGCCACTGTGTCGCCTAGTGCTCTATGGATGTTCATGTGTTTGTTTTATTATTATTGCATTTTCGTGTTTGATTTTCTGATCTGCGTTGGTGAATCGACAGCTTTGTAAAGACCGCGGTAGCTGATTCACCGGCAACAGATTAGAGAATCAACAACACACAGGAGCCACTGGTCCAGAGCAGAGACCGTAAAAGTCACGACTGTCTCCGCCGTTTAAACTAATGTGACTTCACTTTCTCCTTCTGCGGCTTTTCAAAATGGCCGCCGGGAACATGTGACATTAGCGCATGTGTTAGCTGCATTAGCCCCATGCTTTGGTTTGATACAGAACTTATGCACGCTCACATTGTTAAATTCTGATTCCGTTTATTTTCCATTTGCAGTAAAACCACATCGGAGCCTACCTCCAGACCTTCTCCATCAACTCCACTGATGTCTGCTGTCGTTGTGTCCTTGGGCATGACACTTAGCCCACTTTGCCTATAAGGAGCGCGGAAGTTTGCCTTGATGTGTGTGTATGCATCCAACTGAAATTTCCCCATTGTGGGACGAATAAAGGACCTTCTTCTTCTTCTTCTTCGATTTACGCAAGAGTCCCCAGTGTGCAGCAGACAGTACATGAGTTGTCTTGCATCTCAGCAAAGGATATCTTCTGCCAGAGAGAAGAAGCTCGGTTTAAGATCTCGGTTTAAGATTCTGGATTCATAAAGAACCTCCAGAACAGACAGATCACAGTCCTCTCTCTGGTCTCTCACTGGTCTCTCTCTGGTCTCTCACTGGTCTCTCTCTGGTCTCTCTGGTCTCTCTCTGGTTTCTCTCTGTTCTTTCTCTGGTCTCTCTGGTCTCTCACTGGTCTCTCTCTGGTCTCTCTGGTCTCTCACTGGTCTCTCTCTGGTCTCTCTCTGGTCTCTCACTGGTCTCTCTCTGGTCTCTCTCTGGTCTCTCTGGTCTCTCTCTGTTCTCTCTCTGGTCTCTCTCTGGTCTCTCTCTGGTCTCTCTCTGGTCTCTCACTGGTCTCTCTCTGGTCTCTCTGGTCTCTCTCTGTTCTCTCTCTGGTCTCTCTGGTCTCTCTCTGTTCTCTCTCTGTTCTCTCTCTGGTCACTCTCTGGTCTCTCTCTGGTCTCTCTCTGGTCTCTCACTGGTCTCTCTCTGGTCTCTCTCTGGTCTCTCTCTGGTCTCTCACTGGTCTCTCTCTGGTCTCTCTGGTCTCTCTCTGTTCTCTCTCTGGTCTCTCTGGTCTCTCAGTCTCTCTCTGGTCTCTCACTGGTCTCTCTGGTGTATCTCTGGTCTCTCTTTGGTCTCTCTCTGGTCTCTCTCTGGTCTCTCTCTGGTCTTTCTGTCAATGGTGCAGTGATAAAAGTGAAGCAGGATCTTAGAGTTTATTACTGTGTCATATTCAGTGTCAGTGCCGCAGCTGCCCCGGGGCACAGTACTAGTCCGTGCCATGGGCCCCTCTGACCAGCAGACCCCAGACTCAGAGTGAAATGATTCCGCAGAATATCGTCTGTGACTTCCTGTTACTCACAATAACAATGATTCTGATGAAAAGAGAAAAGAGGAGACTTTGCCGCACATCAAAGCGGATCTATATTTTATAACACTGTAAAATAATAAAATGATAAAATAAACTCTGGAGGTTTAGTGTCACTGTCAGCAGCAGAGGGTTCGATAATTAATGCTTTTTAACTTTTACTTTTAATTGTATGATAATATTTTACAATCCTTCCGCAGAAAACATGATATTGTGGAACCAGGAAGTGGGTGGACAATTCTCACAAACTCTCTCAATCTGGCAACCCCTGTGTGTGTGCGTGCGCGCTCCCGAGGCCGGGTTTTGTCCCCGGGAGCTCAGCGCGTTCCCACAGAGGTCTGCAGCACACGGAGGGAACACAACAAACTTTCACATCTGCAACAACAACCACCGACAACTGCAACTACGACCTCTGCCACAACAAAAACACACAACTATGGAGGAGCAGCTGTTGTGTTGCGAGGTGGAGGCCATACGCAGAGCCTACCAGGACTCGAACCTCCTCAACGACCGGGTCCTGAGCACCATGCTGCGGGCAGAGGAGTCCTACCTGCCCTCCCCGAACTACTTCAAGTGCGTGCAGCGGGAGATCGTGCCTAAAATGCGAAAGATCGTGGCCACTTGGATGTTGGAGGTAGGTCAGAGAAGTGCTCAGGTCCGGAGTTTGCTGCGTCTCGGTCGGAAAAAAAGAACACAGAACTTTGCTGGTGTCACTATAGATCAGGAATAGTCTTGAGCCCCATACAACCATGTTATAAGCATGATTCCACAGAATACCGCTGATCGCTGGGTTCACAGTCTGAACAGCTTTATGTTTCCTTTTCTCTCGCCTTCCCCCATGAGTCTCGGCCTGTAACTTCTGCGCGAGCCCCAAACTCGCTCCGATCTCGCCCATATTTCCCCTTAACGTAAAGCACGTGTTGGAAAAACGTTAAAACAGTTAGTTTTGTTTTTAAACGTTGGAAAAGCGTGGGTTACGTAAAGATTGTGTACGGACGTAGGCTGCGTGCTGGAGACGCCTGGGTGGTCCGTGCTCCTGGAGCCTCCTGCAGCCTTGCGTTGTAAACAAAAGTAAAGTTAATAATATGTGTGCGTGCGTGTCTGTGTGTGTGTGTGTGTGTGTGCGTGAGGATGGGATCGCAGTGAAAATAGCAGTATATTGTACACGTATGCAGTGTGGCCCGTGCCAGTGTGTGCGCCATCTTTGTCCTCAAATATACTCGGATATGTTTTAGTTTTTAACACAGTTGTAGTCGGTGACAGCGCGTGACAGTGCGTGATGGGGACAGATCAGATCCCGGTCTCTCGGATCCAAACCCCTCTCGGGTCCAGTCCTAGTCGGATGCGGAGCTGTGAGTCCTGCTTTTGTCTCCCCCTCCGCACGCGGCTCGGAGCCTGAAGGTCGCGCTTTGGAAAACTGCTTTTAATTAAAAATCGGTAAATCTCAGAAAAAATCGAGGCATCGGGTTTGAAAGACAAGACTGTTTTGAGGATTTACGTCCACTTTTTGTCTGCTTTAACGCACGGGAAGCATTTTTAATTAATTTTCCCAAACCGGACGGAGTGAGACCAGGCGCACGTGGGGACAGGACTTCACTTCCGAATTAATTGCGTTAAAATTCGAGGCGTGCAGAAACTCGGGACTTGTTGAGTTCGTCGTGACGCGCGGTTCACGGGTTTCATTTCGATGCCACTCGAAGCTTCGTCGCTATTTTTTAACTATTTCTGTGGATTTTTTGAAAAGATGACGAAGTTGAAATTTCCGAGTGAAACTTGCCTCGACGCCGCCTCTGTGCCTCCGTCAGAACTGAGGCTAATAATGCGTCTGTTTGTAATTAACAAGAGTCCAGGTTATTTATATAGCACAGTTCCCACACAAGGAGACGCTAAGAACTGAACAGACAAGGATTTAAAACCATAAACAATCACAGGACATTAAAAAGTAAATATAAAATCCTTCAGTTGTTGCAAAAACTGAACTTTGGATTTAAACACTGGCAGAGAAGAAGTCTGTCTCACATTTACAGGAAGACTGTTCCAGGTTTCAACATAAATCTGCAATTGTTTAGTCCTGACTCTGGGACCAGGAGGAGGCCAGTCCCTGTGCTCCTCAGAGTTTTCAAGACGATAAAGACCTGTTAGCTCCATGTCACAGATAAACCTATAGATACTAATTCAGATTAATAATCCTAGTATAAAAACCGGGGCATCTGGAGGAAACCTACGCAGACACGGGGAGAACATGCAAACTCCCCACATCAGTGAAACCTGACGTCTAGCAATTATTATATTATTCTTATGCTCAACAATCCTTCATGTTGTTACAACTGCATGAGCATCTTAGGAGTATAGCTAGCAGGTTAGCATCGTTAGCATTTGGGTTAGGGAGACCATACGCGGACCAGGAGGAGTCTCTGACTCGGTCTCATCCTGGTCTTTCTGCCGTCTGCAGGTGTGTGAGGAGCAGAAGTGTGAGGAGGAGGTGTTTCCTCTGGCCATGAACTATCTGGACCGGTTCCTGTCGGTGGAGGCCCTGAGGAAGAGCCGCCTGCAGCTGCTGGGGGCCTCCTGCATGTTCCTGGCCTCGAAGATGAAGGAGACCGTCCCTTTAACGGCCGAAAAACTCTGCATCTACACAGACAACTCTGTGCACCCCTCAGAGCTGCTGGTAAGACCAGGACCAGACCCGAGGACCAGGACCGGACCAGACCCCAGGACCATAGGGTTTCTTCCATCTGATAGATCTGTAAATTAGTGATCACTGTTTGTGGATTCAAAGTCCCGCACCGTAGCTTTAAATGCCTGTGAGTCACTGCTGCTTTTTCAAGACGCATAAGTGAGAAACCCCCCCGACCGCAGCAGTATTCACATGCATGACTTCTGCTCCAGCACAACAATAGAGCGCTGTTTATACTCTACAAGTGAATTGAGGTGGATTACCCTCACAGCAGCCAATCAGCTCGCAGCACAGACGGCCTCACTCTGGGGCATGTGTGGCCGGTGCTTATAAGTGTTCATACCCCTGGCTTAAAGCTGAGGTACGTAACAAGAGAGAGAGAGAACAGTGAAGGAGAGAGAACAGTGAAGGAGAGAGAGAACAGTGAAGGAGAGAGAGACTCCCCTCCTTCAGCTCAGACACAAAATGCCATAAATCCCAGATATAACTGAGCTGAGAGCAGGCTGCAGTGACACCTGGTGGTTGTTAGAGGAAAGACAGGAAGTGACCAGCAGATGATGTCAGCCCCATTATTAGCCACTTAGCTTGATGTTAGCATGTTATTAGCATGTTATTAGGATGACAGGTAAAGCTCTGGTGTGTGTTGTGTAGGTTGATGCGTGTGTTTGATGGTGTATGTTGATGGTGTGTTTCTGGTCCGCAGCAGATGGAGTTGCTGCTCTTGAACAAACTGAAGTGGGACTTGGCGTCTGTGACGCCGCACGACTTCATCGAGCACTTCCTGTCCAAGCTGAAGGTCCACCCGTCCACTAGGGGCATCCTCCGCAAACACGCACAGACCTTTGTGGCCCTCTGCGCCACAGGTAATGGACGCACACACACAGAGACACACACACACACACATACAAGACACAGAGAGAGAGAGACACACGCAGAGAGAGCACAGAGACGGACGCAGAGAGAGAGAGACACATACAGAGAGAGAGAGAGAGAGGGAGACACGCACAGAGACGGACGCAGAGAGAGACACGCACAGAGACGGACACAGAGAGAGAGAGAGACACACATACAGAGAGAGAGAGAGAGACACGTACAGAGAGAGAGAGACACGTACAGAGAGAGAGAGAGACGTACAGAGAGAGAGAGAGAGAGACACGCACAGAGAGAGAGAGAGAGAGACACACATACAGAGAGAGAGGGAGACACGCACAGAGACGGACGCAGAGAGAGACACGCACAGAGACGGACACAGAGAGAGAGAGAGAGACACATACAGAGAGAGAGAGAGACATACAGAGAGAGAGAGAGAGACACGCACAGAGAGAGAGAGAGAGACACACATACAGAGAGAGAGAGGGAGACACGCACAGAGACGGACGCAGAGAGAGAGAGAGAGAGAGAGAGAGAGACACATACAGAGAGAGAGAGAGAGAGACACATACAGAGAGAGAGAGAGGGAGACACGCACAGAGACGGACGCAGAGAGAGAGAGAGACACATACAGAGAGAGAGAGAGAGACACATACAGAGAGAGAGAGACACATAGAGAGAGAGAGAGAGAGACACGCACACAGAGAGAGAGAGAGAGGGAGACACGCACAGAGACGGACGCAGAGAGAGAGAGAGAGAGACACATACAGAGAGAGGGAGACACGCACAGAGACGGACGCAGAGAGAGAGAGAGAGAGAGAGACACATACAGAGAGAGAGAGAGACACATACAGAGAGAGAGAGACACATACAGAGAGAGAGAGAGAGAGAGAGAGAGGGAGACACGCACAGAGACGGACGCAGAGAGAGAGAGAGACACGCACACAGAGAGAGAGAGAGAGGGAGACACGCACAGAGACGGACGCAGAGAGAGAGAGAGACACATACAGAGAGAGAGAGACACGCACAGAGACGGACGCAGAGAGAGAGAGAGACACATACAGAGAGAGAGAGAGAGAGAGAGAGGGAGACACGCACAGAGACGGACGCAGAGAGAGAGAGAGAGACACATACAGAGAGAGGGAGACACGCACAGAGACGGACGCAGAGAGAGAGAGAGAGAGAGACACATACAGAGAGAGAGAGAGACACGCACACAGAGAGAGAGAGAGAGGGAGACACGCACAGAGACGGACGCAGAGAGAGAGAGAGACACATACAGAGAGAGAGAGACACGCACAGAGACGGACGCAGAGAGAGAGAGAGACACATACAGAGAGAGAGAGAGAGAGAGAGAGGGAGACACGCACAGAGACGGACGCAGAGAGAGAGAGAGAGACACATACAGAGAGAGGGAGACACGCACAGAGACGGACGCAGAGAGAGAGAGAGAGAGAGAGAGAGACATACAGAGAGAGAGAGAGAGACACATACAGAGAGAGAGAGAGAGAGAGAGGGAGACACGCACAGAGACGGACGCAGAGAGAGAGAGAGAGAGACACATACAGAGAGAGGGAGACACGCACAGAGACGGACGCAGAGAGAGAGAGAGAGAGACACATACAGAGAGAGAGAGAGAGACACATACAGAGAGAGAGAGAGAGGGAGACACGCACAGAGACGGACGCAGAGAGAGAGAGAGAGAGACACATACAGAGAGAGAGAGAGAGACACGCACAGAGAGAGAGAGAGAGAGAGAGACACGCACAGAGACGGACGCAGAGAGAGAGAGAGAGAGAGAGAGAGACACATACAGAGAGAGAGAGAGAGACACGCACACAGAGAGAGAGAGAGAGGGAGACACGCACAGAGACGGACGCAGAGAGAGAGAGAGAGACACATACAGAGAGAGAGAGACACGCACAGAGACGGACGCAGAGAGAGAGAGAGAGACACATACAGAGAGAGAGACACATACAGAGAGAGAGAGAGAGAGAGGGAGACACGCACAGAGACGGAGAGAGAGAGAGAGAGAGAGAGAGAGAGACACATACAGAGAGAGAGAGACACGCACAGAGACGGACGCAGAGAGAGAGAGAGAGACACATACAGAGAGAGGGAGACACGCACAGAGACGGACGCAGAGAGAGAGAGAGAGAGAGACACATACAGAGAGAGGAGAGAGAGACACATACAGAGAGAGAGAGACACATACAGAGAGAGAGAGAGAGAGAGAGAGAGAGAGGGAGACACACACAGAGACGGACGCAGAGAGAGAGAGAGAGAGAGAGAGACACATACAGAGAGAGAGAGAGAGACACATACAGAGAGAGAGAGAGAGACCCATACAGAGAGAGAGAGAGAGACACATACAGAGAGAGAGAGAGAGACACGCACACAGAGAGAGAGAGAGAGGGAGACACGCACAGAGACGGACGCAGAGAGAGAGAGACACATACAGAGAGAGAGAGACACGCACAGAGACGGACGCAGAGAGAGAGAGAGAGAGAGAGAGAGACACATACAGAGAGAGAGAGACACGCAGAGAGAGAGAGAGAGAGAGACACAGACAGAGAGAGTGAGACACATACAGAGAGAGAGAGAGAGAGAGAGAGAGAGGAGACACGCACAGAGACGGACGCAGAGAGAGAGAGAGAGAGAGAGAGACACATACAGAGAGAGAGAGAGAGACACATACAGAGAGAGAGAGACACATACAGAGAGAGAGAGAGAGACACATACAGAGAGAGAGAGACACGCACAGAGACGGACGCAGAGAGAGAGAGAGAGAGAGAGACACATACAGAGAGAGAGAGACACGCACAGAGACGGACGCAGAGAGAGAGAGAGAGAGAGACACATACAGAGAGAGAGAGACACGCACAGAGACGGACGCAGAGAGAGAGAGAGAGAGAGAGACACATACAGAGAGAGAGAGACACGCACAGAGACGGACGCAGAGAGAGAGAGAGAGAGAGACACATACAGAGAGAGGGAGACACGCACCGAGACGGACGCAGAGAGAGAGAGAGAGACACATACAGAGAGAGAGAGACACGCACAGAGACGGACGCAGAGAGAGAGAGAGAGAGAGACACATACAGAGAGAGAGAGACACGCACAGAGACGGACGCAGAGAGAGAGAGAGAGAGAGACACATACAGAGAGAGAGAGACACGCACAGAGACGGACGCAGAGAGAGAGAGAGAGAGAGAGAGAGACACATACAGAGAGAGAGAGACACGCACAGAGACGGACGCAGAGAGAGAGAGAGAGACACATACAGAGAGAGAGAGACACGCACAGAGACGGACGCAGAGAGAGAGAGAGAGACACAGAGAGAGAGAGACACGCACAGAGACGGACGCAGAGAGAGAGAGAGAGAGAGACACATACAGAGAGAGAGAGACACGCACAGAGACGGACGCAGAGAGAGAGAGAGAGAGAGACACATACAGAGAGAGAGAGACATGCACAGAGACGGACGCAGAGAGAGAGAGAGAGAGAGAGAGACACATACAGAGAGAGAGAGACACGCACAGAGACGGACGCAGAGAGAGAGAGACACATACAGAGAGAGAGAGACACGCACAGAGACGGACGCAGAGAGAGAGAGAGAGAGAGAGACACATACAGAGAGAGAGAGACACGCACAGAGACGGACGCAGAGAGAGAGAGAGAGAGACACATACAGAGAGAGGGAGACACGCACAGAGACGGACGCAGAGAGAGCTTGGTCCAGCAGGGTTTCTCAGACTCGGTTCAGCGGGGTTTCTCACTCTGGTTGTGTGTGTGCAGATGTGAACTTCATCGCCTCCCCCCCCTCCATGGTGGCTGCTGGGAGTGTGGGGGCCGCGGTGCAGGGTCTGTACCTGAAGAACCAGGACCCATCACTGTCCTCCCAGAACCTCACACACTTCCTCTCACAAGTGATACGCAGCGACGCGGTATGTGTGTGTCAGTGTGTGTCAGTGTGTGTCAGTGTGTGTCAGTGTGTGTCAGTGTGTGTCAGTGTGTGTCTGTGTGTGTCAGTGTGTGTCAGTGTGTGTCAGTGTGTGTCTGTGTGTGTCAGTGTGTGTCAGTGTGTGTCAGTGTGTGTCAGTGTGTGTCAGTGTGTGTCTGTGTGTGTCAGTGTGTGTCTGTGTGTGTCAGTGTGTGTGTCAGTGTGTGTCAGTGTGTCTCTGACCTGGTTGTGTGTGGGTGTCTGACCTGGTTGTGTGTCTGTGTGTCTCTGACCTGGTTGTGTGTCTGTGTGTCTCTGACCTGGTTGTGTGTGTCTGACATGGTTGTGTGTCTGACCTGGTTGTGTGTGTGTCTCTGACCTGGATGTGTGTGTCTGACCTGGTTGTGTGTGTGTGTGTCTCTGACCTGGATGTGTGTGTCTGACCTGGTTGTGTGTCTGACCTGGTTGTGTGTGTGTGCGTCTCTGACCTGGTTGTGTGTGTCTGACATGGTTGTGTGTCTGACCTGGTTGTGTGTGTGTGTGTGTGTGTGTCTCTGACCTGGTTGTGTGTGTCTGACATGGTTGTGTGTCTGACCTGGTTGTGTGTGTGTGTGTGTGTCTCTGACCTGGATGTGTGTGTCTGACCTGGTTGTGTGTGTGTGTGTGTCTCTGACCTGGATGTGTGTGTCTGACCTGGTTGTGTGTCTGACCTGGTTGTGTGTGTGTGCGTCTCTGACCTGGTTGTGTGTGTCTGACATGGTTGTGTGTCTGACCTGGTTGTGTGTGTGTGTGTGTGTGTGTGTCTCTGACCTGGATGTGTGTGTCTGACCTGGTTGTGTGTGTGTGTGTCTCTGACCTGGATGTGTGTGTCTGACCTGGTTGTGTGTGTGTGCGTCTCTGACCTGGATGTGTGTGTCTGACGTGGTTGTGTGTAAGTAAGTAAGTAAGCTTTATTTATATACCGCCTTTCACAGACCAGAGTCACAAAGCGGTTTACAATTGTTATTTTTTGGGCACTTGTCTCTCACTCCACACAGAGATGGGAGCGGGGTCGCCGAACAGGAGGCGCATGCCAGAACTATTGTACATATTTTTAGTGGTAGGGGAAACCGGAGTACCCGGAGGAAACCTATGCAGGCACGGGGAGAACATGCGAACTCCACTCAGTGTGTCTGACCTGGTTGTGTGTCTGTGTGTCTGACCTGGTTGTGTGTCTGTGTGTCTGACCTGGTTGTGTGTGTCTGACATGGTTGTGTGTCTGACCTGGTTGTGTGTGTGTGTGTGTGTCTCTGACCTGGATGTGTGTGTCTGACATGGTTGTGTGTCTGACCTGGTTGTGTCTGTGTGTCTGACCTGGTTGTGTGTCTCCTCAGGATTGTCTGCGTTCGTGTCAGGATCAGATCGAGTCGTTGCTTGAGTCCAGTCTGCGTCAGGCGCAGCAGCAGCACGGCCTCTCGGACTGTAAACACACGGAGGCAGACCTGTCCTGCACGCCCACAGACGTACGGGACGTCAACATCTGACCACCGGAGGACACGCCCCCGGAAGACACGCTGTATCTCCTCCCATCAGAACTTAAAGCTGGAGGAGGTGCTGGAGGAGGTGCTGGAGGAGGTGCTGGAGGAGGTGCTGTAGCCGCGGTTGCTCGGCTGGACCTGCGCGTCACAAACACTCTGCTCCTGGCGCTGCACACACAGGAAGTGCGAGCTCTGCGGCCCTCGGCGTGTCCTGCTCTCAATGTCCTGAGTCCCGGGAGCGGCCCCTGCGTCCCGGGAGCGGCCCCTGCGTCCCGGGAGCGGCCCCTGCGTCCCGGGAGCGGACTGCAAAGGGCTGGAGCAGAAGACATTCAGTAGAAACTCTTCCAGAATATTTTAAACTAGGAATTTTCCAATTACCGCAGAGCAGCGAGTCTGGAGTCTGCTCAGAGACAAAAGCTTTGTCGACTTTAGAGTTTTAGAACGGCTCCGCGCAGACGCCATTTACTCTGCTTTGTTTAGTCACTTTATGTATCAAATAGACCCTTATGAATTAGTCTTATACCTCTCCTCTTCAACAACTGTGTGTGCTTCAGGAGCCGTGTTCGAGGTTTTCTAATCTGCTCTGGGCACAAACCCTGAGCCCACAGCGCACTCCTTTAGTCGATCTGAGAAACCATTCAAACTTTTTATTTCTTAAAAAAAAAGCACTTTTAGTCGGTCCAGTCCGGCTCAAGGATAAAATCAGATTAAGTGTGGAATGAAAGAAAAGAGGGACATCCAGGACCAGCAGAGGCTGTAGCTGGTGTCTTATGGTCGTTGCCGGTTCTGGTTTGGTTCAGTCAGCACAGGACGGGGGGAAACAGAAGTATTATTTTAGCTTTGGATTTTCTATAGAGAGAAAGTATTTATTTTTCTAGCTGACCTTTTGTAGTGAGGAAACGTGCTGATGAAACCAAACCTCCCAAAGGTTTGAATCTCCCAAAACTGCTTTACGAGACCTCAGGACGCTCAAGGACCATGAAGAGAAGAAAGGAAAGAGAGAGAGAGAGAGAGGAAGAAGAGGAGGGGGAAGGTAGACGTAGACAACATTTTGCACAAAACTGAAGCGTGGGCTGTGTCTTTGAGGGGCTTGGTGGAAGTGGGGTCTCTTTAAGCTGAAATTCAAAGCAATTCAAAAACCTGGGAGAGTGCGGCAGAAGGTGAAGGGACGGTCTGGAGCGGGGATTCCCAACCTGTGGTGCACGTACACTGACAGTACCAGGTCTAAATCAGGTCTCAGCATACAGTGGTCCCTCTGAGGGTCTGTGCAGCTGCTACTTCAAGGACTTCACTAAATGTGGGTTATTTTAGAACACATCACCCCCGTGTTAAGGACCACTGTGGACCATTTTAAAGCTATTTCTCTTCTCTCTATTGTGACTATTGAACCCAGAGCATTTCTGTAATAACACCTGGTCCGTCTGCAGCTGCACGTCTGGTCCAGTTAGCACCATGAAGCCAAAAAAGGTTGGGGATCGCTGACCGAGAAAGTCCAAGCTCCGTGTTTTTCCGCCGCAGAGACTTTGAAATTGGGAAATGTTAGATCCAGAACTAAACGGATTCATCGTCACAGAGTTCGAGATTGGTTTTCCTTGAGCCCAGAGTTCGGCTTCTGTCCTCCCGAGAAGAGACGGCCCTTCGTTTGTCCGATTTGAAAAAGTTTATGGATCCGCAGAGGCCCGCCCATTTCGCAGTCCGGTACTGGGGTCTGATGCTGAGATCCCTCCCCCCAATGGAGGTTAGAGAACATGTAAAGCTGGGGTACATAACTTTGAAACCACGACAACGGAATTCTATAATAAACTCCACGTCACTAGTTCCTGGTTCACATCATGTGTTAGTGAAAACCAGAGGAACACCAACGCCTGCTCTCTCTGGTCTCTCTTTCTGGTCTCTCTCTGGTCTCTCTCTCTGCTCTATCTCTGGTCTCTCTCTCTGGTCTCTCTCTCTGGTCTCTCTCTCTGCTCTATCTCTGGTCTCTCTCTCTGGTCTCTCTCTGGTCTCTCTCTCTCTCTGGTCCCTCTCTCTGGTCCCTCTCTCTGGTTTCTCTCTGGTCTCTCTCTGGTCTCTCTCTCTGGTCCCTCTCTCTGGTCTCTCTCTGGTCTCTCTCTGGTCTCTCTCTCTGGTCCCTCTCTCTGGTCCCTCTCTCTGCTCTCTCTCTCTGGTCTCTCTCTCCGGTCTCTCTCTCTGATCTCTCTCGTCTCTCTCTGGTCTCTCTCTCTGGTCTCTCTCTCTGGTCCCTCTCTCTGGTCTCTCTCTCTGCTCTCTCTCTCTCTGCTCTCTCTCTCCGGTCTCTCTCTGGTCTCTCTCTCTGCTCTATCTCTGGTCTCTCTCTCTGGTCTCTCTCTGGTCCCTCTCTCTGGTCCCTCTCTCTGGTCCCTCTCTCTGGTTTCTCTCTGGTCTCTCTCTGGTCTCTCTCTGGTCTCTCTCTGGTCTCTCTCTCTGGTCCCTCTCTCTGGTCCCTCTCTCTGGTCTCTCTCTCTGCTCTCTCTCTCTCTGCTCTCTCTCTCTCCGGTCTCTCTCTGGTCTCTCTCTCTGCTCTATCTCTGGTCTCTCTCTCTGGTCTCTCTCTGGTCCCTCTCTCTGGTCCCTCTCTCTGGTCCCTCTCTCTGGTTTCTCTCTGGTCTCTCTCTGGTCTCTCTCTCTGGTCCCTCTCTCTGGTCTCTCTCTGGTCTCTCTCTGGTCTCTCTCTCTGGTCCCTCTCTCTGGTCCCTCTCTCTGGTCCCTCTCTCTGCTCTCTCTCTCTGGTCTCTCTCTCCGGTCTCTCTCTCTGATCTCTCTCGTCTCTCTCTGGTCTCTCTCTGGTCTCTCTCTCTGGTCCCTCTCTGGTCCCTCTCTCTGGTCTCTCTCTCTGCTCTCTCTCTCTCTCCGGTCTCTCTCTCTGATCTCTCTCGTCTCTCTCTGGTCTCTCATGTATCATTCAATAGAGGAAATAGTTGCGTACCTCAGCTTTAACTCCTGGATCTCGGACTGTGGACTGAACTGGACTGTGGACTGTGGGAGGGTCTCTGCGGGTCCAGAGCAAATGTGTTGGATCTTCCTGGACCAAAGCTGGGGTCTCTCCGGGTTTTTCCGCTGCTAAAACAAGTCCAGCTCCGTGTAAAAAAACAGAAAAAGACAAAACAAAGGAGTGATGCTTTTTCCTGATGTTTGCTGCTACGTTTTTGTACTCGAGTAAATGTGGTGTAAATGTCGTGTCGTTCCAGGGCTCAGTTTTCTCATAGAAAACTGTGATATTGACGTCCTCATTGTTGTGTTGTGTGTTTTTGTTTATGAACGATTCTCCCAAATATTCCAAAAACATGGACGATGAGAGGATCACAATACCTCATGTGACGGTCTGAGTGTGTGGGTCTGCACTGGCCTGAGGCAAAGACCGGGTCTGGACCAGGTCTGGACCGGGTCTGGGGCGAGACTGGCCTTAATCTGGCCCAAATCCCGGCTGGGTTTGTGCGCATTGTGTGTGTTGGACCCTATATGTGTGTGTGTGTGTACCTGTTGTGTGTGTGTGTTGGTGTACCTGTTGTGTGTGTGTGTGTACCTGTTGTGTGTAAGCGTGTCTCGCTGAGACATCCTCCTCTCGGCCCTTGAGGTCCTTTCCCTTTTTTATATTTATAAAAAGACAAAAAACATGTTTTCAAACTGTCTGAGTTTCATAAGTTTGTAAATAGCTCAGTAAGCCATAGTTCATCTGCGGCTGTGTTCATGTGTCTGCAGCTGTGTTCATGTGTCTGCAGCTGTGTTCATGTGTCTGCAGCAGTGTTCATGTGTCTGCAGCAGTGTTCATGTGTCTGCAGCTGTGTTCATGTGTCTGCAGCTGTGTTCATGTGTCTGCAGCAGTGTTCATGTGTCTGCAGCAGTGTTCATGTGTCTGCAGCAGTGTTCATGTGTCTGCAGCAGTGTTCATGTGTCTGCAGCAGTGTTCATGTGTCTGCAGCAGTGTTCATGTGTCTGCAGCAGTGTTCATGTGTCTGCAGCAGTGTTCATGTGTCTGCAGCTGTGTTCATGTGTCTGCAGCAGTGTTCATGTGTCTGCAGCTGTGTTCATGTGTCTGCAGCAGTGTTCATGTGTCTGCAGCAGTGTTCATGTGTCTGCAGCTGTGTTCATGTGTCTGCAGCTGTGTCTGCAGCAGTGTTCATGTGTCTGCAGCTGTGTCTGCAGCAGTGTTCATGTGTCTGCAGCAGTGTTCATGTGTCTGCAGCAGTGTTCATGTGTCTGCAGCAGTGTTCATGTGTCTGCAGCAGTGTTCATGTGTCTGCAGCAGTGTTCATGTGTCTGCAGCAGTGTTCATGTGTCTGCAGCTGTGTTCATGTGTCTGCAGCTGTGTTTGCAGCTGTGTTCATGTGTCTGCAGCTGTGTTCATGTGTCTGCAGCAGTGTTCATGTGTCTGCAGCTGTGTCTGCAGCAGTGTTCATGTGTCTGCAGCTGTGTTTCTGTGTTCTGCCTCACAATAAAACCTGGAGTAGAAGTTTCTGTGTTTCCCTTTTGTGCCGGAGCAGGGTGTCCACACTTTAAGTACAAGGGCCCAGAGGCTGACGGTGTTCTCTGAAGTTGGCTGGATGATATATTTACTCACTACATTAGTACCATTTAATCACAGCTGAAGTTGGCTGGATGATACATTCAATCAAAGAAATGTCTACAGCTTCATAACGAGGTCTGTGTTGGCTGCGCTGAAGTTGGCTGGATGATAAATATAAACATACGTATAAGAATAGATAAATTAGAGACTGGTCCGGGGTCGATGACATGTTTAAACCTGACTGTTCTGACACGTCCACATGAGACGAGGCTGAAGTTGGCTGAATATAAACAATAAGAACATGTGTGAGACGTCCTGAGCGTGTTGGTGGAGATGAAGTGGGCTGGATGATTAGCAAAGCAGGAGCCACAGCTCTATGTCATGATGTAGAGAGAGGGATTCGAACCCAGACACAGCTGTGATTGTGTGAAGTCAGGACCTGTTGTGTCTAATGGAGCTGCAAGTCCTGTAAGGCAGCCCAGGAATTTACAGGATCTAGAGGCTTTTTACAAGAAGAAGGGGAAGCTTTATCACCAGAGAGAAACCAGACCGAGACTAAGAGACCAGACCGAGACTAAGAGACCAGACTGAGACTGTGAGACCAGAGAGAGACCAAACTGAGACTGTGAGACCAGAGAGAGACCAGACTGAGACTGAGACCAGAGAGAGAGACCAGACCGAGACTGTGAGAACAGAGATAGACCAGAGAGAGAGACCAGGGAGAGAGACCAGAGAGAGACCAGAGAGAGACCAGAGAGAGACCAGAGAGAGACCAGGGAGAGAGACCAGAGAGAGACCAGAGAGAGACCAGAGGGAGACCAGAGAGAGACCAGAGAGAGACCAGAGGGAGACCAGAGAGAGACCAGAGAGAGACCAGAGAGAGACCAGAGGGAGACCAGAGGGAGACCAGAGAGAGACCAGAGAGAGACCAGAGGGAGACCAGAGAGAGACCAGAGAGAGACCAGAGAGAGACCAGAGAGAGACCAGAGGGAGACCAGAGGGAGACCAGAGGGAGACCAGAGAGAGACCAGAGAGAGACCAGAGGGAGACCAGAGGGAGACCAGAGAGAGACCAGAGAGAGACCAGAGAGAGACCAGAGGGAGACCAGAGGGAGACCAGAGGGAGACCAGAGGGAGACCAGAGGGAGACCAGAGAGAGACCAGAGAGAGACCAGAGAGAGACCAGAGAGAGACCAGAGAGAGACCAGAGAGAGACCAGAGAGAGACCAGAGAGAGACCAGAGGGAGACCAGAGAGAAAACAGAGAGAAAACAGAGAGAGACCAGAGAGAAAACAGAGAGACCAGAGAGAGACCAGAGAGAGACCAGAGGGAGACCAGAGAGAAAACAGAGAGAAAACAGAGAGAGACCAGAGAGAAAACAGAGAGAAAACAGAGAGAGACCAGAGAGAGACCAGAGAGAGACCAGAGAGATTTGTTCTCAAACTTTTTTACTTTTACGAAATTCTCTGAGAAAAACTATGCATTATTTATGAATGAGAAAAAGTTAGGTCCCCCAGCTTTACTTTAGAATGACACATTTCCATGGACAAAAGCCCCCGCACCATGTGAGCGTACCATGTGAGCGTAAACAGCAGGACAGTGAGTTCTAGAACCCTCTCTCTGCCGTCGCCCTGACATCTGCCCCTGATGCATTATTCAGGGCGGCTGCGGCCACGAGAAAAAAGGCCCTTTGAGAGTACGCACTCCCGGAACAAAAGGCACGTTCCAGTCCACGCCGCCACAACTCACTCTTCACACGTTTAACAGTAGGACCCCTCTGCCAAAAGTATCCATACCCTGAGTGATGCTAACACAGGACAATGCTAACATAGACTGTATACAGAAGCTAATGCTAACACAGACTGTATACAGAAGCTAATGCTAACATAGACTGTATACAGAAGCTAATGCTAACATAGACTGTATACAGAAGCTAATGCTAACATAGACTGTATACAGATGCTAATGCTAACATAGACTGTATACAGAAGCTAATGCTAACATAGACTGTATACAGAAGCTAATGCTAACATAGACTGTATACAGATGCTAATGCTAACACAGACTGTATACAGATGCTAATGCTAACATAGACTGTATCAGAATCAGAATCATCAGAATCAGAATCAGAATCATTTTTTTATTGCCAACGTAAGTAACGGGAGG